TGCTATAAATGGTACATATTTTTTAAATATAGTATATTTATGTAAGTTTCCCCTCTTTTTAAATAGTATACTGATCATCTTTAATCTTCAGATCTTGGCATCAACGAGCTATTTAACTTTTTGTCTGCTTTTATTAGCTAGTTTGTTCTTAGTCCAAAAAGAAAAGGAAAATCAAACCTAATTCACTTGTCTTTAATCATCTTTTATAAAATTTAAATTAAATTTTATCCCATACGAGCTCTTCGACAAACACTCAAATTAATTATTGAGGCATTTTTTGGGTTAAATCCTACAAACGAATTTATCACGAATCAAGTGAATAATATCTTAGTAGTTGATCTGCATAACAATTTTTGTGGCAGTAAATTTGGCTTTTGGTGGTGGAAATTGAAGTACTCCCTCTGTCCCAATTTATGTGACACATATTATTTTTCGAGAGTTAAACGGTGTACGTTTGATTGAAAATTTGCGTATGAAATTATGATTTTTAAAAAATGAAATGTATATATTTGTAAACTACGTAAAAAGTACTATACGTCATAATAATTGACAATCTAAAATATTTAAAAGATATATGAAACATTTATGATCAAATATAGACTTATTTAAATCTCGAAATTCGAAATTAATCACATAAATTGAAACTGAGAGAGTATTACTTTTATTTGTTTTATTTTCTTTGTCTTGGTGTAAGTATGGATGGAGAACTAGTTGATGGTACGTATGTAACTTTCGAAGTAATAGAAACAAATTTGATTTGTAAATGATATTCTAGCTGAGTCAATGCATGCACAAGAATTTTCTACCTAAACTTTGTCAAATTTTTAATTTTTTCCACTGTGAAGAAAATGATGTTATCCTAATAATATTCTCTTCTACCTAAACTTTGTCAAATTTTTATTTTTTTCCACCGTGGAGAAAATGATGTTATCCTAATAATATTCTCTTTGAGAAATGTTGTATCTTGACTCCCTCCATTCAATAATAGTTGTTCATTATATTATTTTGAAATGTCTAATAATACTTGTTCATTTTATAAAATTAATGGATAACTTTATATTTAGTTACTTATTTATCATTATCATTAATTATAGTCATCTCTTTATTATAGTTTTCAAGACAATGTATTTATTATATTCAAAGGGTGATATAGTAAATTTACCTTCTATCTATAGATTCTTAGGAAGGGTGCAAAGTCAATAGAATAGTAGACGCGTATTGTTAAACAGAAGGAATAGAAGAAAACTGAAAATTATCTGTGTGTCTCGATACTAATTTCTCCGGTCCAAAATAATTGATGGATATGCTTGGACACAAGAAAATAAATGTTACCCTCTATCCCATATTACATGGATACTTTTTATTTTACAAGATAATTAAAAGATCACCACTAGTTGATTAAATTTACTATTTAGCTCTTTATTTATATTAATTAGCTTCTTCAAAAAAGAAATTTTTAAATTTTCAAAATTTGTTTAAACGTCTTAAGGCTTAAGGGTAAAATGGGAAAATTTTGACTAATTCTATCTTGATTTAGTAAGTGATCAAGTCGTATGGAACAAATATTTTTGATAAAACGCCAATCTAATATGGGACGGAGAAAAATAACTAAAATATCCTTGATTATGATATTTTTTTCTTTTTAGGTTGATATGCATACATCATTAAATTTGTTGATTTCGGAAAATATCAAGGACAACTTTAACAGAGAATAATACGCTACTTTCTTAATTTTGTAAAACACTAATCAACTTTTAGAGACTAAAATATCAATATTCAAATTTTGAAAATTGAACTCCATTAAATTATTCAATTAACTCAATATGTAACGATCGGGTTCCGTCGTTATAGAAAAGCCAACGGGAAAAAATTTTGGGTCGGAAAACTTTTTCGTAGTAACTTGAAATTTCCCAACCTAGTTCAGATTTGGACGAAATTGGAGTATGTGAGGTCTAGGGAAATCTGGTAGCAATTGGGTGATCTAATTATGAATTTGATCACATGAGTAGATACATAAGACGTTAAGGAATCCGTACGACTTTACGGAATTGAATTCGGGCGAGTAGAACTCCCAGAATTGATCTTGGCGTGAACGATAGTTTCTAAATGTCGTTGGTCGAGGGTGTGTTGTGAAATGGGGTCTTGGAATTATTAAAATAGCTCACTGGTTTCGAGCAAGCCGCTGGGACGGAATTTCTGCCACCAAGGCGGGGATGCTGTAGCGGGGTGGGTGCCGCCGTGGCGGGCCAGACGCGACTTAAAGTAGTAAATAAACCCCAAAAATGTTTTATTCTGTAATTTTCAAATTTGAGAGCTAAGGAACTAACCCAGGTCTTTTCTTGACAGTTTTCCACCATATTTGAGGCTAAAGGTAAGATTTTAACTCCCTGAATCCGTTTTTCGATCCATAGAACGTAATCTAATGTGTAATTATCGATGGGGGAGGATTTTGATCTGGAATTTATGATGGAAACAGCCCTAATTGGGAGATTGGGATCATGGGTATGATATAGGATTGTTAGTAATCCGGATAATTAGTGATTGTTTATTGATTCCCGTATTATATTGATTGTTTATAGACCAATAGCAAGCGGCACGAATTCGGAAAGGGAAGGATCAAGTTTCCTAGGGTTTCAAAGCTTGTTTCGAGGTAGGTGATAGTTGTGATTCTATGATTGTGTGATGTATGTTTATTTTTGCTTCATTATGATACATGTATGTATGTGAATGTTGCATTATTGATCACATTAATTGTAAACGAGATATATGAATGATGAATGTCATGAATCATTACTTGATTGTATGATTATGAGAATGTACTTTGTGATTGTGATGGTGGCTTGTTGAATTGATCGGGTGTTGCGTTTCGACACACTAACTTGGATCGGTTGCCACGTTCTGGCATAATTATGAGATTGGTTGTCAAGTTTCGGCATAATCATTGAATCGGGTACCACGTTCCGGTATGCTAACTGTTTGGATTTGGGTTCCATGAGAGGACCAATTATTTGATATAATTGTGTATCTTGAGAAATGTAAAATTGTATCTTGTTCGTAAGTGTTGATAATCTTGTATATGTTCGATATATGCATGTGATTATATTGTTGTATTGACATATGTATGTTGCACTTAGTGGGATAGCTGCATGATCCTACCAGTACATTGTGGTTGTGTACTGATATTGCACTTGCTCTTTCTTTGTTAAGTACAGTGCATCTTCAGGCAGCTATTGATAGACCTCTCTTAGAAGATCAGTGATCGTTCTATTAGTTCGAAGCTGATATGAGATGTTAGTTCGAAGTTGATATGAAGTTTTGATGATTTAATAAACTTATCGATCTAACAAGGAACCAGATCCTTGTTATTGGGCCTGCTGACAGGAAAATAAATGAATAACTCAGTGTGAAGAATATTTGTGTGTAATTATCCAAAAGGGGGAAAATGTTATATTCTAGGTGTTTTGATGATCCTCACAAATGCATGGACCTAGTCCCTGGCAGAGTGCTCTCGTCCAGATACAAATGGAGTACAGATGTAAAGCTGTCATGTCAGGTGGTAGGTGAAAGTGCGGTGTCTTACACTAATAGGAAGAGTGAACGAGATTGTATGCTTCAGTGTCTCACAAATGCAGGGACCTGATCCCAGGCAGAGTTCTCTCGTCCAGATCTATAATGAGGTACAACTGTAAAGATGTCGTGTTAGAGGTTGGTGAGGCGTCAGCATACTACACCAATCAGAATGGACGAGGGTGTTTGTCCAATGGGTAATAACTATTTATGGTTGATATTTTCTACATGACAAACACCATATTAAATTCATTCATCCTAAGAAGAAAGTCAGCCAGCAAGCCTTTTCAAGAACCCACAAAAATGTTTGCAAGCGACCTGGTCCCTGCAAGACTGCGATATGAAAAGGTGACAAGACAGCCGTTAGAAAAGTTGTCACCTCTGATGTGGTAGGTGAGCAACTTTTCTAAACAGTAGGTTATCAGCCAATAGGAGTGTTCCAACGAGTTTGTGTTGATTTATATCATCTCTTTCCAAAATACACAAACTCAAGACTTGGCAAAACAAAAACTTGGATTTTCTCTGAAAATTCATAAGCTTTAAAAGAAGGCCATCTTCAAGGAAGAACAATACTCATGCTCAACAAAGGGACCTGATAGAGTGCTGAAGTGTCTTTGTTGAGTTTGAGTTTGAGTTTTGTTAGTTTTTGCAACTTGAAAATTCTCAAGAACACTTGCAAAGACTCACTTTTAAGAAGTATTCTCCGGCAAGCACAACAAGGACCTGATCAAGCTGCAAGTATCAGAGTGTGTCTTAGGAGCTATACTTCCATGCATATATTGTAAATATGTTCCTAGTTTATAAAGGATTCAGATATTTGTTTCGGTTTTTAAAAGCCTAGATCAATTGAGTTTAACTGGTTTAGTGGGCAGCATTGTTTTGCTGCTTAGTCAAATTCTAAATCATCTAGGAGCTAATTGATTTAGTAGGCGGTATCCGCTTAGCAAAGTCTAAGTTATCTAGGGGTGATAGCTTAGTGGGCAGTGTTGTATCTGTTTTGGCTCGTCTAAGTGATAGGAGGTATTGCTTAGTGTGGAGATTAGCAAGCTAATCTCATTTTGTAAACTGACTTTTACTTTTGCTTGGAGAAGATTAGTGGAAGCAGTTTGAAAAGTCATGTGTGACAGGTCGTGGTTTTACCCCCTTGAGCAAGGAGGTTTTCACGTAAAATCATTGTGCCTGATTTACTTTGTGTTATTCATTTTCTGCACTTTATTCTATTGGGGATCTGGTCCCAAGAACACTGGTGAACACATACATTCCAACAATTGGTATTAGAGCTTGGGCTCTCTATTTGGTTTACACCATGAGAGAGATTCCTGAAGGAAATGACGATACCATTGAGCATGCAAAAAAGTCAGTCTCCCACAAGACCTCCTTTTCTTGATGGTCAATTCTATAAACATTGAAAGATTCGGATGAGAGACTATCTCATGGCTGAGGACATTGAAGTATGGGACGTCATATGTAAAGGTCCTTATGTGCCAACTATGGAGGTTAAAGATGGAGAGGTCACAAGAGTCATTCCCAAAACTCGACAACAGTATAATGACTCTGACACACCATTAGTCCAGAAAAATCATAAAGCAAGGAAGCTACTGATGTGTGGCCTTAGTGTAAATGAATACGATCTGATCTCATCTTGTGAATCAACCAAGGAAATCTGGGATCTATTGAGAAAAACTTATGAGGGCACTAAGGAAATAAGGAAATCTAAGCTAGATCTATTTATCACTCATTTTAAAGGTTTCACAATGAAAGAAGGTGAACTCATTCATGAAATGCGCACTAGATTCTCCACAATTACAGATGAGCTCATGTTCCTTGAAGAACCAATCTCTGTTGTCAAGCAAGTCTCTAAGATACTAGAAATTCTTCCTAGATCTTGGACAAATGATTTTGTGATTGAAAATGAGACAAGAGAACCTGATGTAATGACGATGTATCCACTATTTGAGCATCTTCAAGTTCATGAGATGCACAGAAAATGGAGGGGTCTCTTTCTCAAGGGAAAAGACAAGAGGACAGATCTGATTGATGAGGCCGATTAGAAGAAAGAAAATCATGACAAGGCTACCAGCTCAAGTGAAGTGTGTGGCAAGTGCAATCTACCAGGTCACTCCATTGGAAGCTGTCCTGTAATGACCCGGACCCAAAATGTCTTTCTTTTTATTATTTTGAATAGTCATTTAACTATAGTTAATTAATTTGCGGGTAATTTATTTATTATTAATAATAATGGGCCAAGTCTGAAATATTTAAATAGATTAGTAGGAATCATTACTTTTAATACATAATTAATTTTAAAAAGAAAAGAAAGAGGTGGAAGAAAACTGACATAAACATGCGACTAAAAATAAGAAGCTGGAAAAAAAATGGGGGAATACTCTGCCGCCGTCGCATAGCAATACCTTGAGGTAATCATTTTCAAATTGTTATATGTTGTAGATGATTAGCTAATTCCTAATTAACGGAGGATCATAGTAGCATTTTTTTTATTATTATTATTGGAGGGATAAAGTGTAGCCTCAATATTGAATTCAAATCATATATGTTGTTCGTGATTTAAGAAAAATAATTTGCAGGGTTATAAGTGATTGAATAATGATTAGTTAATAATTATATGGTGATTACGTGATATGTTATTAGTTAGCTTTGGAGAAGTTAATGTTAATGCATCCTTTGGCAGTATGTCAATTTCAGTGGAATATCAATATGGCATCAATGATCAATAGTTTTTGAGTAATTGTTGGACGGTGAGTGCAACTAATCATTGGTAATCCTTGGTCAAACTAAAGTGATTACAGGAAAGGTGTATGGGTGTAAATTCTACGTAGTTGTTACTATTTGATGGGTTAAGTTCATCGTAGAAATACTTTTTATAGGTATGATCTAGTTCTCGATTTTTATAAATGGGGTGAATGTAATTGAATTATGGGTGCACTATTGTATAATATAAATACCATTAGATTTATGATATTTGGAGGATATTAGACTTAACCCTAGGCTTGAAACTTAAGAACTTGATTTGAGGTTTGGGGTGAGTTTTTGGGTCTAGGCTAAACCTATGGTAATATGGGTGTTGTTAGTTTTGAAATCTTATTGTTATTATGTACTTGAATATATTGCATTGATTTGGAAGCTCAATGAAAAGGGAAGGCTCAAGTCTCGGAGTGATTGTTCGGTTATTTGAGGGAAGTGAATTTCTAAACCTTTGTTAAGTGTGTGGAATTCGTGTATTTCCTTGCAATATGTGTTTAGGGTAATGAGACTTGGTGATGGGTTGACTTGTCCACATTGATTAATTCTAATAATGAAAAAGGGGTAATAAAAGGCAATGTGATTAATTATTTGTGTGTGATGTATTGAGAATTGTTGGTGATGGGCATTGGTACGAGTACCGATGTTATAAAGAGAAAAGTTTATTACTATAGAATGCGGATTGTAATCCGAGAATGCCAAAGCATATGGGCATTAGCTGATATATTATTGACTTGATTTATTATGTGTGATTGTGTTCTTTATTAAACCCGTATACTGGTGATAACTGAGGTGATTACATATCATATTGATATTTGATTGAGATGCATCATCCCTTTTATTGAAACCATATTCTGCATATGCATTGACATGAGATTGAGTATAAGTTGAGCACGTGGAGATCGTCCGTGCTGGGGATGGTGAGATGTTAAGATAATAATTTGGGCACGTGGAGATCGTCCGTGCGAAATTTGTTTGATTTATGATAGTGCGTTGAGATCGTCCGCACAGACACGTGAAGATCGTATGTGTCGGTATATGGACCTCGGGAGTCCCCCATGGGTCATGAACTCTCGATGTATTTCCGAGGAGTATCATGTATATACAGTTGAGAGAGTACTTGGTATTTTGAGGCATATCATTTCATGGTGTCACATTGCATTGCATCCCATGACATCATTCATTCTTGATGATTATGTATTTTATTTGTGATTGAAAAGTACTTGATATTTGATTACCTCTATTTGATGAACTTGATCTTGTGTGTTGCTGATATTTGTGAGTGCCTTTTTGTGGAAGTTGTGATTGATGAATATTGAGTTTGTTGTTGAGGATATGTAATTTGTTAAAGTGATTGTTGTTGAGTTGGGTGCTATGTAACTGTGAACTATTAGGTTGGGCTGGTTTTATGCAGGTTGTAGTTGTGAAGGTTCCATTGGTGTGTAAGGAGTACCCGTATTCTATCCCCTTAGCTTGTGTCTAGAAGTTTACTTGTTGAGTACCGTGTGGTTTGGTACTCACCCCTTGCTACTACATTTTTTTGTAGGTTACTACCCTGGAATTTTGTGATATTTTCTTTTCTCCTTGTCTGAGGCTTCTTGTGGAGGTTTGTGAGGTAGTTGCTTTTCATTTCAGCGGACCTTCTTTCTCATTAACTATGATCTTGTTCTATTCTAGAAACAATGTCATTGAACTTGTATTTTCCTTCAATTTTTTTATAACACATTAGAGGCTTGTACACGTGACAACCAAATTTTTGGGGTATTGTTAAGTTGATTATAAAAATTTCCACATTTTATTGTAAGGGTTGAGTTTTAGGCTAACTTGTCTTGGTGGGATAAGACGAGTGCCATCACGTCCATTTTTGGGTCGTGACATGTCCAATGCACAAAGCTGACCACATAGAATTTGTCAAGATTGAAGAAGGTAAAAACAAAGAAAGGGACCAGGTCCGTGACAAGCTAAGCAGAAGAGAAGCCTTTTTTCAGGCAGTGAAGAAGGATGTGGTTGCATGGGAAAATTCCTCAAGTGATTCAGATGATTCTGAGCACTCTAATAATGCTTTCATTGGAAAGTCAAATGAGGAGGATGCTGATGAAAAGGTAACTATATCATATTTCAAGCAAAACTTGAATACCTTTTCTACCAGTAAATTGAGAACGCTAGCGGTTGTATTACTTGATGTGATAAGTAAGCTAACCATTGAGGATGATCTCGTGAACAATAGCCTAGACATCTCTAAAAATGGAAAAATTGTTTTAGTTGCCCAAATGTCTGATATTGAAAATCAAATGGTAGTTATACAAGCTGAAAATCTAGAACTGAAGGAAAAGATAAAGGGGGTAACTACTACAGTTTTTAAAGGAAAAAACGAGGCAAGCAGCTTGCAGTTAGAGCTTGAAAATAAGTTGAATACTGCTGAAATGAAAATGATGAAATTGGCTTTGGAAAGAAATCTTGAGTTGGAAAGGGACATGATCCGTGTAAAAGAGGAACTTGAAAAATCCCTCAAATAGACCAATTCCTCTAAGATCCTTACAAATCTAATTGGTCAAGGAAACAACAATAGAAGAGGGTTGAGCTATAAGAAGATAGATCCCCCATACAATCCTCACATCAAATCTGTTTCTAATGATGATAATCTATTGTGCGTGCATTGTGGTCGAGATGGACATCTTAAAAAGGATTGTCCTGTTCTGGAAAAATATGGAGAAAGTTCGTCAAACTATTCCCAACAGAGAAATAGAATGAAGAAGGGACTTGGTCCTGCTTCAGGGATCAAGTTGAAGAAAATCAATTTGCCTTACTGGACAAAAGATTTTCTTATCACTCTGTTATCTACTTACTGGAAACTCTGTCTCAAATGGGTTCCCAAGGCTAACAAGTGATTTGTTATGCAAGTGAGAAGAAGTAGTAACAGTCAGTGGTGGTTCATGAATTGCAGATGCTCAAAGCACGTGACTGGGTAAATTGAAAACTTCCTCTCTCTCAAGGCACTTCAATGTGGAGGTGTCTCTTCTGGCAATGGCAAGAAATGGTACATTCTTAGTGTAGACGGGGGTTGAAAATCTGTGGAATACTCCATTGAAGTTGTGTACTATCTTAATGGTTGGAGTACAATCTTTCAAGTGTTTTACAGATTTGTGATGAACAAAAATGAAGTCAAGTTCTTATCATACAAATGTGTGGTCACAAACTTGCTCTCTCCGGGTGATGATCTTCAAAAAAAAAAGATGCAAGCACATGTATATTGCTGATCTGAATATTGCTTATAGTGACAATTTCACTTGCCTTAGTGCTCAAGGTGAGAATGTTGAGGGATGACACAGAGACGTGTTCATGTGAGTGCCTCTTTGCTACACAAACTTGTGTCAGGGGACCTGGTCCTCAGTCTGCACAAAATGATATTTGCAGATGACAAAGGTTGTGACAATGGTGTTAAAGAGAAGTATATCAGACCATTCTTCAGATGGAATATGCAGGTTTTCAATCTTTCAAAGAACTTTCGGCTGAAGTGGTGAATAATAAATGTTTTATGACCGAAATGATGATATTGAGAAGTATAATCTCAATGATGTTGAAAGAGTATTTGTGGGATACTCTTCCTCCAGCAAAGCTTATCGGGTGTATAAAAAATGTGTGCATTGAAAAAGATGTTCATGTGATTTTTGATGAATCTTGAAGAATTGAAACGTAAGTTTCAAAACAAAGAAGATTCTGATATAGAAGAGCTGTTTTAGATTCAGAGAGATAATCTAAACAATGAGCTTGTTGAAGAACATCCTCTTCATGAATCCAGCAATCTAAAAGAAGTTGATGCAGATTATGAACCTGATGAGGGACCCGGTCCTGTAGACAGTGTTGTATAAAGATGGTGCAGTTAAAACTCATAATGTGAATTCTGAAGGTGAGAATGAAGAAGTTGATCAAGCTCAGTTTGAAAGAAGCAAAGTATGACACTCGATTCCCAACAAGCTAATAAATTGTCCAAATTCCTCTTCAACAATGGCTTTAAGAGAGGTAAAATTGACAAAACCCTCTCTTTTAAGTCACAACGAAGGGAGCTGCTGATTATTCAAGTATATCAATGATGTCATTTTTGGATAAACCTTTTGAATTGTTGTGTGAAGAGTTCACCACATTCATGGGTAGTGAATTCTAAATGAGCACGATGGGAGATTTTTTCTTAGAGCTACAGATTCAGCACACCTCGAAAGGTACCCTCGGTTATCCAGAAAAGCACATCAATGAGCTCTGCTCAAATGGCTTAACATACTTGAAGTCAAGACGA